CCTCAACCTTCACTGCTTCAACCAGGCCCTTTGTATTAGTTTGAGTCGCTACAAACAGGCAATACACTTCAGGGTCCTCTTTTTTATCTTTTGCTCCTAGCTGAAATGCCACTGAGGATTTGCTGAGGGCTAGGTGGCAGGAATTGCAGAAACATAAGAAAAAAAGTGATACGAATGTAGAATTAGGCTAAAGAGTGTCTTATGCCTGGAAAAATACAGAGAAAAATCTTGAGACTCATTCTCCTATCAAAAAGTAACATGCCTGCAATCTTCACCCAGCACAAAATACATCAACCACAATGAAATTAAGCAGCTACTGTGCATCCCCAGAACTGCCCGATAAGGAGGAGCGCATTAAGTAGCATAGCACATCCAGTATCTGCCAGAATGACCTGTACTGGTCCCAACCTGAAGGGATTCACCATTCTCTGACAAAGAAAGAAATGCATCAGGAACTCCAGCCCACTCCAAAACCCGATTTTGTGAAGCCAGGTAACTAACATCACTAATCAGGAATACCCTGCAAACTGCTCAGCAAGAAGAGTACTTTGTATATGAGATTACTTTTTTCCCTGAACCTCGCTCACAGAAATAAGCTTACCTTATGAGAATGAGCTGAAGCAACTTTTAATCAAAGAGCCTGTGTGCCAACAGAATAATAGTGACACTTGCTGTCAGTCAGAGGTGTGGAAAGGTCAATAGATAAAGTGAGTCATGCAAACACCCTGCAAGTCAGCCACTTTGTCTGCCAAATGGTCTCAGCTTGTCAGCAAAGCCTGGGTACTCCTTGCCCTAAACACTTACACCAGCTAGACGGACAGTGGGGGAATAACAAAAACACTCCCACATTCCTCCATCTCCCTCAGGAATAACAGTATCTGCTTTGGGCTGGAATTGGCAGAAAGTACCTCTTCCACCTTCTTTCCCCCGCCCCACTTCAAGTCCTGCACTGGGATTATCTTTGTGGCATTCTTGCATTTCTCTCCCTGATGCAGACTGAATGTGTCTAACAGTCACTCAGCTGAGATGCCTGCTTGATTTGCAACATTAGATTCTAAATCACCCTTCACTAAGAGGCACATGACCCTGTTTCACACAGAACAGCAGACAGTAGATTTTTCCATAGTGAAGTATGCCTAAGCCATTTATCTACTCTGTTTATTTCACCTGTAGTTTTACTCCAGCATGTTTCCACACACCTGCTTCAGAACTGAAAGACATCTAGATGCAGCCACGCGACAATGCCTCAGTCAGTCCTACACAGGCTCAGCACTTTTTATCTCAGCACGGTCCCACACTGATGCACCATTGCAGCTTCCAGAGCCCCAAACACATCTTGCAGCACTTCTCCTGACATACCCATCATCAAAAATGATTCATTCATTTTTCACTTCACATGAGTTTGATTATTAGGATTAAGAAGACTACTGAAAGGTGCGTCTTAAGTCAATTACAGAGGATTTTAAAAATATGCAATTAGCCAGCTAATCCTTACCTTCCCTTTCAAACTCAGAAGAAAAGCTTAACTTCCATTCTTTAAATTGCCATTTGGAGGAGCACCTCTACCACAATACCAAATACTGGCTACGAAAGAGTCTAGGCAGACTCCATGTCCAAAGCAGGATGGCAGGAGCTTATACAAAAGGTTGTTACAAACACGACCCTACCACCTCTACTAGCTCTAAACCTACCCTTTTCTAAGTAGGTCCTTGGTGCCCACGGAGGGTCCTCCTCAGCATATGGATCACTGTACTCCACCACTGCTGCTTCCTCTTCCTCATAATCCTCTGGAGGTGGGGGTGGAGGTGGAGATTCATCAAACACTGGCTCATCCACAGGCGGTGGTGGGGGAGGAGTATCTGAAACTGAAAAGCAACAGTATAATAATGAAAATGTCTCTAGAACCATGGTAGCAGGTTAAAGTAACACTCTCTATCCTCATTAGTTGCACTGGGACCAATAGTTAGAACTTGTCGAAATACACTAGAGACAATAAAATTCAGAGAAGGAAGAATCAGGTTCCTCCAATAAAATTAGCTCCTTTTTTCCCCCTTCACAATTTCGGACAAACTTGCAGAGTCAGTAGAGAAGGCAGAACTCTGGCTGCATACAGACAAATCTTTCATCCACTCAAAACAAAAGTCCCATCCAGTAATAAATCATAGCACAAGGAAGCAGCAAACTTACTGTTTTCTTGAACTCTGGCCACAAATCCCATTAGCGGTAACTGTGGAGTTACCTGTAGGATGGAGGGGGGAGGAGGAGCAAGGGATGCTGCCACAGAAATTAAAAAGAGAGAGGCATTCAGTTAAAAACACAAAGCAGCAAACAGGAGACATCATCACCACTCAGATGGTGTAGCAGTCTGCCAAGAGGCTGAGATAAAAAAAGCTGACGTTCAAACAAAAATGGCTGAGGTGGTTTAAGCATATTCCTAATCCTTACTTCAAGGAGATTTCTCTGTTTTTACAATTTCCAGCACAGCTCTTTTTCGTAAGATTAAGAATCCACGCTGAAGTATTCTTCTGATCTGACTATGAGATTCTCTTAAGCTGAAGTCTATTACTACAGCACTATAGCACTTTATGAACAGATCTAACTAACAAATATATCAAGAGGATTCTCTCCCTGTAATCCTCCACCTTTCAGATCAAATTGATATTTATAAAGGTGACTTCTGTCACAGCATCCATGAATCCTTAGTAATGAAAGTGGATATAACTAGTTTTCTCCAAAGCACAGGCCAAAACCACCATCAAATGAGGCAGTTATTTTAGGTGAAACAGAATAAGACACCTTTGAGAACTGAGAGTACTTGGAAGACATGGGACTTCAGACTTCATTGGTAGAACAAAGCTCACTGTGCTGCTGTTGAACACCAGGGCCTATTCCACATGTGTTGCCTTATTTCCTTCCTACCTGATTTCACAGACCACTGCAATGAACTCTGAACAGCCCTTCTACTGGTACCAGAAGAGCTCTCTTTGTACAATACATGTGAATTCACATTTAGAGAAGATACTCTCAGCCAGTTGCAAATGTTACAACACCAGACTGTAAAGCCAGGAAAGAAAGTTTCAGTTATCTAGGGAAGCTAAAAATATAGTTAACTAGTTTTATCTAGTTTTAGTATCACTTTGCAAGAGTAATGCAGCAATATTCTGTAAGCAAGTTACAAGATTTTTTTCAGAAAGCACGCCTCAGGAGAAGCACAACTAAATAACTTTCTTGTTAGTAGTGACATACAAAAATATTTAGTCATGTCCAAAAGAATGGGGGAAAAAGGTCTACACTTCATGTACTAGTAAATTTCTTTAGCTTACAGAACAGAACTAAATAAATTTCATATTAATTCCAGAGCTGGTAAGAAAACTGCCAGGCATGATGTAGGGTTTTTCAAAATTAATTCACATCATCATAGCAAATTAAAAGAACTCCAGGGTGATTAAAATTCAGGTCTCAAAATTTCTTCTGTTTGCTTACTTCAGTAACTATTATCTGAAGTGCTTTGAATTTCTTCTGTCACTAACATTCACATTCCTTTCACAGCCCTATATCCCAAACAAAAACACAACTAATAGAGCAACCATCCTTTTTGTTGCAAAAATATCCTTGTACCTCCATACAAAGCAAGCTCCATTATCTAACCATTTAATTTATATTTCTTGGGAAAAACTGAAATACTTTGCTAATGACAGCTTCTTTTATTTGAATGACCTCTGAGAGCATTTATTCCTTCAAGTCTAACAACAGTAGCTGAAAAAAGATTTAGTCTTGCATTTTTTTCAAAGCAGGAAAAGGGAACTTGAATTTGAAATCCTACTGAAATGCAGTAATATTAATGAATTCAGCATTCTTGTGCAACTATGAAGTCCCTGCCTTTTTAATTATACATGCTACAAAAATAATTCCGTTTCAAAATGTTTCCTCTATTCAATGCAATATGGATTCACACAATTCATAGCTCTCATACAAGACTAGCTTCAGTTTCCTAGGCTCCTTCAGGGTACTTTGTTCATGCACTGTATGTATTTCTTTTAAAGAAATAACAAGGCTTTCCACGTAGAAAAGTAAATCACTCTAGACAAGCACTCCAAGCAAATACAAAAAAATCCCTTAGTTTAGTTTGGGTTGTGTAGTTTAATCAAAATGGTAATGCTAACACTAGCTGACATAATTCCTTGTTTATCTTAACCACTGGGTTTGTGCTTCAGTCTATGCACAGTGCAGGGACTATCATATTATATTGTCCCTATATGATATATAAGGACTCTAAGCTAGTTTTGACCTTTATGAATCAATAATATTTTATTAATAATGACTGTGTTTATAAAGTGCATCAGAAAAACTTTACTGTACCTCTGCTGTCTCAAAAGATGAGAAAAACACCAGCTTAAACATTCCCTCACTTGCATATAGACCAGGTAGATTAAGAGTTCACCTACACAGTTCTAAATTAATTGAGAAATGTTCAAGAGCATTTTCCACTAGATTGCATCAGCCTGGTAAGAATTCAGCTATACAAACAGTGTGTAGTGCAGGCCACCGTCTCAATACTTGCCCAGTTACTCCCACGGGGTTTTTAGGCCATGCCGAGCTCTATACTGCTTTGATGCTGGTATCTAAGGGTGCAAAATTAAAACTGCCAGGTAGCATGGCTGGCATGAGTGGCTTTAGGACAGACACATGCTGAGATCATTTAGGGTCTGCATTTCTTAATATTCTCTTTTCAGTTGTTAAAAATGTCTCACCATGAAGTAAAGAATTTATATTATCTTAGGAGTGCCATTCAAAAGAACAAGGCAAGTATTTTCCATCCTCCTGTGAAGTGCATAAACAAAAATTACTATGCCAACATACTCAAAAATGGAAGTGAAAAAAACAGTACTGCTTTATAGCCAAACAGCCTGCAAAGAAGAACAAGCCATAGCCGGCACACTCCTCTGACTGCTGTAAGGTCTCTTTTTCACCTCTTGAGTTTGCTTTTATCCTTCTCTTTGGTAACACTGAGAAGCAGTTGTGGCCCCTGTCATGTCACTACTAACCCTGCTCCTTACAGATGCAAGAGTCCCTCTATTCTTAGGGTCTTCATCGATTATGCATGCTTGAGCATCCTCTCCTTTCAAAGTACAGGCCAAAAAATCTTGCTTTAGTATAACTGCAAAGCTAATGAATTCTGTATTTTGCTAGGTATATTTTTAAAAGTCTCTTTCTACAACTGCTTATTTATGTTGTATCAAGTATTCCAATATAATTGAAGTATTTTGTTTGTGATTTACACTCAAGTGATTAATCACTATAATCATTATCTTCTTTTTGGGTACACAGACTGAATTGCGGTTACGTAACTCATCTGAAGTCTATTTGGCATCTCCTAGGATTACCTATTAACAACACAATGGTACCTTGCAGAGAATTATCCCTTCTCTAAAGCAGAAATGCACAGCAGTTGTCAGAAACTGTCTGGATATACTGAAAATCCTCTTTACTGCAAAGGTAATTCTGAAAGGTTTCTTTTATTGCTACTACCCTTTCCTTCTTGCCTATTCCCCTTCAGCCTTCAACATACACATAACGCTCTTAAAAAATACCACATACTTCAGGCAACTAGGCTGCAATTTAGTCATATAACTTCCTCCAACCCCTGTCCCCAGCAGGACCATCCATTTCCTTCTCAAGTTAAGCACACACATCTCTCTGCAGGGTAGCTCACAAGCAGTACTATTTGAACCTGATCAAATTCCTTAAATGCAGATTGCAGCATCTGACCTAATTCCAAGTTCAGTGCTCAATTAAAAAAACCCAACCAAACAAGCAAAACAAAACGCCACCAAAACGCACCACCACAACAAAACACAAATGCAGTGTAGTGCTCGCAAGTCAACATTTCATCTTGCTGGTAATAGGGCGTTTCTTAACAAGGAACTTTCAGTATGTCCCCTGCACCTTTCTGTAGCTTTGTCAAAAAAGAATGTCTCCCTTATTTTGTTATCAAAACCTTCAATGTTGCATGAGAAGCACAGGGAAAAGGACTCCTTAGATAAAAAGCTACTGTGATCTGCCTGACACACAGAACATGGCACTCCTTATTAGTATCTCATCCTGTTTTTTAAGACAGGTCATCCATTAAAATAACATCATCTGTGGACTCAGCAGATGACATAGCTCCCTTGTATCCCATGCCAAACACCACTGATGTCTCTAAGGTGTCTAATACTTACCCTTGTACAACAAGGGCAATTTTTTCAACTGTCCATTAATCAGAAGGAAAAAGCGTACAAGATAAAGACTGATTAATGAAGAATCAGTGTTCTGGTGCAAAATCAAATACCCATCGCACACCAAAGCAGATACATGACATATGGTGTAGCAAAGGACTAAAGCTTGTCTAATAGGGATTGTGAGATCAATAGGAATTCATTTGGCGACAAAGCCAGTATCGTTTTAAGCGGCTTGCCATAATGGAAGCTGAACACTCTGTACTTGGACTGCAGCTTTGGCATGGCTACCAGCAACATACCGTAAGTTACCTGAGACTAACTGCAGTGGAGACAGAACATAAGATTTCAGAGACCAGAAGGCCACTCCATTCACCACTGTGTTGAATTCAACAGAGCAGAAAAACTTTCTTACCTGGGTTCTGGTTATAAAATGGTCCTCCATTCATCTGGTTCTGAAGGCTTGTCTGTGATGTGATCGAAGGAGGACGCCGATATGGCAAAGATCCCCCTATTGTCGGGGGGGTGTGTCGAGATGCAGGCCTGTTCATGCTGTAGAACTGAACTGGGTGACCTAGGTTAGAAAGAGAAATGTATTAGCAAAGAGAAGGATGATGCCTGCCTTTTTTATATCTGCATTCAAGATTCAAATGCTTGGAAAGGTTTTTGGGTTTTTTAAAGATGGTCTGCAAACCAGGAGCAGTCAGATAGTTCAGCTGCTAGACTGGCAGGACACTGGATGTCTCAATAGCAACACAAAAAATAACTCTCCCAACTGCCTGCACTCAGGGCTTCTCACAAAAGCCAGTATGACAATACAAAGGTGTCCAAGTTACAAAGCTTCAAAATAAAAGAAAATAATTCGCAGTTAGCCATTTTATATAAGCTATTATAATGACTTCTTGTAAATTTAGTTATTTATAAACCTGTAAAAAAATAGCACTTCATACATCAGCAACCAAGCAACACACATGCACAACTAACTGTACGCCATTATCAAGATTCAAAGCTGTTGCCTTCTACAACTGAAAAACACAATACTATCTTAGCACTGTTCAGAAAACACGCAGAGAATCATCTAGGGGGAAGAGAATGTTAGCAACTGCTTGAAGGATGGCATAAATGACATCATACTTAAAGACCCTCTTTTCAGGGAGCTGTCAATTGAAACAACGCCTTAAAAACTTGCTCTCCATTTTAATAACTTCCTGTATCAAAATAATTGATCCTGAATCTAAGCAAGCAAAAAATGAAGTAAGATCATAAAGCTATCTTTTGTGCTCACAAAGTTCTTTGACTTACATACTGTATATAACAATAAACTGGATTTTTTATACCCATACGGGTTATTACTCTCCCTAACTATTCTGCCTCCATCGTTTGTGCTAGAGGTAAATTTCAGAGTTTGCAAGAAAACAAGAGGAGAAGGGATGGTCACTGTAGTTGAGGAGGTATGCATGCAGGGAAGTAAATAGGGAAACAGAACAAATGAATGTGCAGTTTTTTTAAAACCTGCATTTTTCTCCACTGTTTTGATTACTTTGCAAAACTTCACACTAGGTCAGTAAATAAAATGCAAGTTGTTTGCTGTGTTACTTGCTTCTAAGAGCAAAAGCATGAACCAGAGATTCGTATTCCTCATGCATTGTACAGGTATGTACATCCCAAAAAAATGCACTTTTCAGAGATGAGGAAGAAGAACAGTTAAGAAGCAATTCACCTAGTTTTTTCACATTTTTCCTAGTGCATCTTTCCAATGTGTCTGTCTCCCTGGTACTTAAGGCACTGGCAGAAATTGGTGGTGATTGGAGAGAAGGGAGGAGAGAAGAAACAGGGATAAGAGATCCTTAAGGGCCAAAAACCACAACCTTATAAATGGTAAACTATCCAGTCTCTTCAAATCCTTTCTTTCACAGAGGCCGTGCAAGCAACCTCACTAACAGCACAGGGAAACAAAAGATCTTAAAACGAGTAAGTAACCTGAAATTTCTCTTAAGGAATTGTGATGTGAATTTATAGCCTTTAAAATATTAATCTCTGCTTGATTTTGACTTGTCAAAAATACAGAAGCAATATGACTTAAGAACTGGGATACTGACAGTGCATCGAAAATGGAAAACTGACTGAGGCTCCATATGACAGAGCTCATCTGCTAAACATGGAAGTAGTTTAGACCAGGATCATCTTCTGATACCAAAATTCATCACAGTTCAGAAGCTTCTAGTCAAGCATGGATTCGAGTACAAGTATTTTCTAATTTTGTATGAACCATGATACCTTAAACTAAATACGATTTCAAGAATGCTTCTGGCACCTGGTGAAATACTTGTAAGAGACCAATGCTAGAAACACACAAACCAATTCACACCTTTGTGATGAGCCTCCATTATAATGAAAAGTAACAAAGCACATAGGTAGCTATGTATTAATTTGGTTGCTAAAGGAAATCTTTACAATGCAGGTGTAACTCCTCATCAAAAGCTGACACAGAACAGTGTTATGGTTAGTAAGCACTATATCCTGCAACTTCAGCATAGGAGAAAACCATAGAATTGTAGAATGGTTTGGGTTGGAAGGGACCTTTAGAGGTCATCGAGTCCGACACCCCTGCAGTGAGCAGGGACATCTTCAAATAGATCAGGTGGCTACAAGCCCCATCCAACCTGACTCAGTGTCTCACGACCCTCGCAGTCAAGAATTTCTTCCTAATATCTCATCTAAATCCACCCTCTTCCAGTTTAAAACCATTACTCCTCATCCTTTCACTAAACTCATAAAATCATAGAATGGTTTGGGTTGGAAGGGACCTTTAAAGACCATCTAGTCTAACCCCCCTGCAGTGAGCAGGGACATCTTCAACTAGATCAGGTTGCTCAGAGCGCCGTCCAACCTGACTCTGAGTGTTTCCAGGGATGGGCCATCTACCCACTCTCTGGGCAACCTGTTCCAGTGTTTCACCACGCTCATCCTAAAATATGTCTTCCTTAAATCTAGTCTGAAGTTGTGACAATCTGTTTGGATACAAGCAGATAGAGAACACAGCAGGACACTGTTGGTCATCATGGCAGAAGCAGCCTCAGCACAGAAGGTGGGTTTCAGTTTCCCTGATAAATCTGGTTCATTAGTATTGACTAATTCAATCAGTGTCTCTAAAGCTGTTACACACACATAATTACAGCATACAAAATGTAGTAAGGTATTACATTCTACAGAGAAACTGAATGGTATTAACATCTCAAAATAACACAGTTTAACAATAAGAAAAATTTAAATGTAGCAGATTACCTCAAACATGCTTGTCTATGGTTTGTGAAACAAATTTCCCATAAGGTTTAACCTTCCTATACCACACATACTGGTACAGGCATCAAGAATTCATAAAAGAAAAGTATCTCTGATTGTCTCCCACAGTTAAATCTGGAGCAGAGCCTGATATACTTTTCTGCAAGAACACTGAGAAAAAAAAAATACTGGGTATCTGTTACTCTCTACATGTTTATACGGTGCCTATCATTTCCATTTCAATACATGTAAAATTCTGGCAACAATACACAAAAAAATAGACATTTTACATTAATCTTGTTCATAGAGCTCCTGTGTCAGGACTAATGGGTATTTTTGATGTCTTAGAGCCACAACATTTATTCACACCAAATTTGCTCTAAACCATTAAAAACACAAACCCAACTTCTGATAGACACAATGAAATAAAGTATTCCCAATGACAAGATTTATCATGCTTTTTACAGCTACAGAAAAAAAATGCCCACAGTTGTCACAGCTGACCATTTTAAAAGGATAAGACATAGTTATGTGTGACTGCTCAGTTATGATCAGGCTATTTAAGAACTTACCCTTGCTGCTTTCTCTTCTAGGATATGGTATAAATAAAATCACAAGAGCCATATTCAATTGTGCTATCAAAATCCTATAATCAAATGAAGGTTATAGAAATCTCCATTGCCTCCTGCAACTTCACCCATGACAAATAATTACATTTGAATCGGACACGAGTCTTTCTTACTTTGAGGCAAGAACTGGTAGTGACCCTTACAATTTAGTTTGCTTAATTTGTTTCCTTTTATAAACAAGTTTCAGTTGCTTCTGAGCTTTTGGAATTTTATCCATTTGGTGGAAAAACAAACAGATTGGCTCTTAGCTACCTCTGAGTGTCCTGGTTTTGCTAGGGTAGAGTTAATTTTCCTTTTAGTAATTAGAATAGCAGTATTTTACTTTCAGTGTTTCAGTTCAGACTTATCATGAGAAGAATGTTGATAAAATACCAATGTTTTTAGTTACTGCAGCTCAAGGCCACAGTTTGTCTGTTTCACAGCTGCACTAGGACTGGGAGGGGGAAGCGCAGTGACGAGCAAAACCCAAAACTGGCATCTGGTTGTGCCAATGAAATATTCCATATCATATCACGTCATGCCAGTATATTAACCAGGGTTGACCGGAAGACAGGGCACTTCTCTCGGGGATCGCTCGGGCTCACTCTTCCGGGGTTTCGGTTCGGGACCGTCTCGGCTGCGGGATCGTTAGCTGGCACAGGCCGGGCAT